AACCAATCAGCTAAGTCAATTGCGTGATACCAAAATACGTATATGACAAAATGTAAGCATACATTTACATTAGTAAAGTCATATACAATTTCGAAACAGCCATTTCTTATAACTTTGTTATTAAAAAAAAAAATTGTTAATACACTATATATTTATTTTATATAAAAATTAGACCATTCGTGAAAATATCGACTAGAAGATTTTATTACACTAGAATTATCATGTATATATTTTAAGTATGCAAATGATCGATCGGACAGCCACAAATTATTATATTAACTCGCAAAAAAGAAGACAAAAAATGCATATGTTACATGTATTTGTGTTGCTAAATAATCTAGTCTATCGTGAATCAATGTTTTGTTTATCTGAATTGCTATAAGTCATAAGAAAATCGGTAATATGATATTTTTAAGTATTGTGTGTGCGTGCGATCGCGCGGCGTTTTGCTGGAAAATTATATAGCTTAATGAATGATGTTAAATGATGTAGATTACATACGTAAATGTACATTTAGATGGGTATATTACTATTTTATTACTGTTTGGCGATTAAATTCGCATTTTTTACTTTTTATTTTATTAATATTATTTTCAGGGAATGTTTTGTACATATATATTTGTAGCATCTATTTATTTGTTGAAAAATATTAATTTTAAGAAAAATGAAAAATAAAAGGGAATTATGACAGCATTTTTTTATTTAAATATATTTTTAGAAATTATCGAAATTGATACTAGGTAAATTCAGTGATTCAGGTTTAAGAATTAATCTTTCGCAAGCCTATATACTTAATTATTTAAGTATTGTATGATATAAAATGCAAATATTATTTTAGAAGGAATTTTGAAAAGCAGGAAACTAATGTACCTTGAAACTGTGTCAAACTTCGCTTGGTCATCGCAACTGAGTTTGATTAGCCTTCTTTAGTACCGACTGTGACTCCCAAAACAAATTCTATATTTTTATGTAAAGGGATGACTATAAAAATATATATATATATATATATATATATATATAAATTAATTATATAAATCTCTATACTATGTTACTCAATATATAATACTATATACATATATATGTTGTAAAATAATAAATCAATCTATGTTCAAGCCATGAACACGCTATATTTCCTTCCGTTCATATTTCAAGATGCACATTTAATTGTAAATATTTCATCTTTATCCTATCTTAAAATTGCCGTTACCTGCGTTGAAGCCTCTTTTCTCCAATGTTTAAAAATTCATATCTTCCAGAAAAATAAAGATATAGATCTTCTTTCTGGGCTCATCTTAAAGAAGAATTTTGTGGCTATTTTTTATAAAATCGTGGTTTTATTTAAAAATGGCCGATTAAAACGTTATTTTTATGAAAATTTATTTTTTTCAAAAATTGTTAAAATTTATTTAATTAAAATGGGTGGTGATGGTGGGTGGTGGTAATGGCTGATGGTGGATCAACTCCTACATGGTCATTCTTCGATTTTTGACATGAGAAACTTTTATGAAAAATTTGTATTGCAGAAATCGAAAAATATAAA